CGCGGGGGGGGGGGGGGTGAGAGGAGGCAGCGCCTGAACCAGAAGAGAATTCAGTCAACACACGAGAGAGAGACAGGAATGAGTGATAAAACCATCCCCACTGCCTGTGGCTAGCATGCACATTTCAGATGCCAGACGAGCAGAGGCAATCCTGCCAGCAGATGGAAGGGAACTGCGCTGCAGCTTGCCGGGCTCACCGTGGCTCAGGCAGTGTTCCGGTCCCGTCCAGGGGCCTATGGCAGGCCTGTGCCTCACACAAGCCTAAGAGCTGGCATCACAGTGTCCTCCTAAGAGAAGGACTCCTGGGGACCCAGATGGCGCAGGGCTTTCCGTGCAGGATAATAACAGCCTGGTCTGGCCCAGAGGACACAGAAACAACAGGCTGGTTTCACGATGCAGAAAAGGAATGGTGGCCACATCCCATCCCTCATTTCCACCCCTAGGGCCCCAGAGCCCAAGTTTCACAATGGGGATGAGCCAAAGAAGGCCACCCCAGGCCCACAGCTGACAGCTGCAGTCAGGGTGGGGAGCATAAACAGAGAGGAAGGGAGCCCAGCCAGTGTCTGCAGGTGGAAAACTTGGTACTTTAACCAGGAGGGTGCTTCCAGGCTTCTACTGTTGTAGAATCCTGGTTCTCCTTGGGAATTCCATTCTTCCCTGGCATGGCTGGACTCTGGGCTGTTTCGGTTCACCTGGACAAGACCACTGAGGCATGACCGATGCATGCACCCTCTGGACCTTCTGCAGGATTCTTTCCCCTCTACTTTATGAAAAAGTTCCTACCGCAATGGGGCCGCAGTGACAGGCCCATCGGTCTTTACTGGCAGAAATTATGCCACTCCCTCAGTAGTAAGAAGGATGGGGTGTGCACGTCCAACCCCAGGGTGCCAAAGACTTCTGAGGAAACTGGTGTGCAGTGCAAAGTCCGGGGCTGCTGGCCTGGGGGACTCCGGCGCAGTCACAGGGAGGTTCCCCACACACTCCAGGCCGAACAAGGGGACGTCCACAGCGATTGAGCACTGCTGCGAACATACTGGTTCACCCCACTGGTCCCACCAACTCGGACAGCGCCCTCAGCCACCTGCCCTGGCCTGACATGTGGCTCCTTCTGGTCCCTGCAGAGTGTGTGCAGCACTCCCAGCTGGTGCCCAGGGCTGGATGCCACCTGTGGGCACTTGGCACTCTAAGCTCTCACATTCTTCTGAGAGGGTGAACCCCAGTGGGGGCACAGCAGGGGCCCCCAGCCCCCACCTCCCACCTCCCCTTAGAGGCCTCAGACACCCAGACACCATTTCCCAGGCTCCCAGCTCTGGGCACCAGCTCTCAGAGGTCATTGAGACCTGCGCTGTCCAGGGCAGGCCAGGTACCCTGGGGACACAGGTGGGCCCGGCCAACCATACCTGCCTCGCTGGATGCACAGGAGGTGGGGTCACTGGCAGAGCGGGCCACACGCCCAGGACTGGGCCATGCTCGTACGCTTATATCTGTAGCTTCTGGGGACATGTGGTGGGGGCTTGGGGCAGGTGGCAGGGGCGGTGGGGTGACCGCAGAGCCCGCAGGAGACGAGTGACTCAGGCCCAGTGAGGTTGCGCCTTCTGATGTAAGGCTCGGGCTACTGGCTGGAGCTGCAAGAGAATGGGCTGTGTGTTAGGGCGTGGACCCAAAGGGCCAGCCTGACCCAGGGATAGCGCCCGCCCTGCAAACCCCGAACCCAAAGAAGCTCTGAAGTCTCAGGAGCACGGGAACACTGAAGCGGGTGGACAGAAGCGGCTCTATGGTGTTGAAAGACTGGGGACACCGGATGATCTCTCAAGAGTCATGCCAGGAAGCAGGAGGAAGTATGGAATCACTTCCTGCTCCAGGGGAATCACAGACTGGATGCCCAGTGAGCAGGGATTGTGCTGGGAGGGGTGAGACTCTGGGGAACATCTGGTGTCCCACTTAGGTCCAGGCAGGCAGTACAGACTAGGGTATGGAGCACAGCCCCTAGGCCAGCCTACATGGTGCCTGCCTTGGTTCTCAAAGTGAGTCCAGGGCCAGCGACATGAACCTTACCTGGCAACAAGTCAGAAATGCAAACTAGGGCTGGGGATAAGCTCTGCGTTATAGCACTGCCTAGCACGCCTGCGACCCTGGGTGACATCCCTAGCAGCTCAGTGAAGGGAGGGAGAGAAGGAAACTAATAGCCAGACTCCAGACCCACAGAATCAGGACCCGTGGTGGGCCTGGCCATCCAGGCAGGAGCAGGCCCCTCCGTGGGATTCAGATGCCCACTGAGCTGTGAGCCCTGGTGCTCTTGATGTGCTGGTTGGGTCAGGGCTCCTGCCTTTTGCCCCTCCAGGCCTGGCACCACAGGCAGTGGATCCACAGGGACCCGTGCATATGCTACAAGGAGAAGTGCTATTCCTTACACTTCTTGAATGCCAGCCTGTGTCTTGGCTCCCTCTCAGGCTGGGGTAGACACTGTAAGGCACATCGCCTGCATGGGGTCCCTTGGTCAGAGTCACAGCAGCCTCAGTTCCTCCAGGGGTGGGATTTGGGAGTCTGTTCCTTGTATCTGTTTCTGTGAGTCCTACCAGGAACCTGGGGGAGGCTTCTCCTCATTTTCCCAAGCTCCAAGTGACCCCTGGGCTCCATACCAGGTGTTTTTGGGCCACCTCCCACTTAATTCTCCCTGCCCACCTCCAAGGTAGCCCCAGTTTCTCCCCTTCCACAGCCAAGTCCGTGGGCTTCGAGAAGGTAAGAGGTTCACACAGCCACCAAGAGACGGAGCTGGTTGGAAGAATCTAGAATACTCTTGCTTAACCACTGCTGCCCTCCTTGATAAATAGCTGGGGGATAATTAGTGATCCATTTGGAAAAACAGAAAAGGATGAATAGCACCTCACACATTGTATGCAAAAAGCAAAAGCAAAACGACCACAGAACAATTTTAAGAAGAGTAATCCTTTTCTTATTAAAGATACTATAAAAATAGCCAAAGAAAATATATAAAAATAAACCTACAGTATTAGAGACTTTATAAACATGCTAGAAACTGTAAAGGAAAACTTTGAAAAGTTGACAGCAAAAAGCTGTAAACTTGTGTATGAAATAAAGCATCATTAACGGGGGAAAGTACAGAAGAAACTAAGAACATATAGGTGCCATAAATAGGGAAGGAGTTAGCCTTACACGTATTCTTCTGTCTCTTAACAAATGTTTTTCTGTTACATCTCTGAAAAACACCAAATCCTCCAAACAATGTAAGATTAAAAAAAAAAAAAAGAATCAAAACCAGACTGGCATAGGCAAGAAACATGGAAAACATTGCTCTAACCCAGTACCGCATGTCAGTTGTGCATCCTGAAGAGCAGTGAAGTTCATCAGGAAGGTCAGCGTCCCAGGGCCTCGTGTGCTGTAATACAACCTTCCCAGAATGCAGTGTTGGCAGTGTGTTAAAACCAACATATTCCTTTGGTCTCAGAAATTTCACCTCCAGGAATTTATTCCAGGGCATAATGGGGCAAGTGCTCAAAGATGAACGGATCATATAGCAAAGAAGCAACCTTTATCAGATCACCAGAAAATTTCAGCTGGGCATGGTGACACACACCTGTGATCCTAGCGCTCCGGGAGGCTGAGGCAGGAGGACTGAAAATGCCACCTTAATGACTTAGTGAGACCCCATCTCAAAATTAAAAAAAAAAAAATTTAAAGGCTGGAGATGTAACTCAGTATAAAGGGCCCAAGTTCAATCTCCAGTACTGAAAGAAGAAATCAAACTCAGAATTGTATTTATGAACCCTACCCAAATTCTATCAGTTACTCCCTAGCATATCACACATAGTATATCAAAATTTGAATGATTTTCATGCCTGATAATTCCTCTTGGTCCCAGTCCTCTTAACATCAGTGATTATCCAGTGACCGAGTTCCCCAGGAAAATAGAATCACAGAGAGACAAAGGTGGCTTTGTGCTGAATATAGATACAAAAATTATCAGAAAGCTATCAAATTATCAGAATGATACAGGAACAGCTCCCAGCTGAAAACTAGGGACTGATTTTTGCCTGCTCTCTTTGATGTTGTGTTGTGTGCTTGTTTTTATGACAGTCATAACCCTAATGGGCTTCCAATTTTTCACAAGCATTTAAAAAAATGAGTGTATAATAATGTATTTAGCATATACACGTTTCTTAAACTCTTATTAGTAGACTTCATTGCTCCTCAAAGTCTCACTGCATGAAAATGCAAAGAACCATCTTCATTTGTAGAGCTCTGTTCTCAGTGCTCCCCTAGGGAGGCTCCAGGGGTGAGACCACCACAGCCCAGTGATGGCGAACCTTTTAGAGGCAAACAGCTGCTGCGCCTTGGGTGCCATATGTTTGCCGCCCCTGGGCAGACCCGCTTGGCAAAGTATTTTGGATAAAGAGCACTGAAATGGTAGGCTGTTTAAAAGATGCTAGTTGGGACCCCAGGCAGAGCTTCCCTGTGGCTTTGTCAGCACCGGATCCTTATCTCTCCTTTGTTACTTTCATAGATGAAGAACTAGAATCTACCAAAAAAAAAAAAAAAATGCATGGGACTAAAATTCAGTTCAGCAAGGTGGCAGGACATATGAGCAACACACAAAAGGCTCTTCTTTTT